TCTGGATTGTCACGTGTGAACACTGACTGGAACTGCATGTTTAGGATATTAGCTTTATCTCTGGGATGAGATATTGTTGTGCCATCTTTCTTCAATGACCCAACACCCATACTGTCCCTTCTGCTGTGTTTGATGAAGGACCAGAATCTTAATAGTCAATACTCAGTAATTAATTTGAAACTCAGCATAAATTTGGCAATGTTAAATTAATTAATTTACAGATGGTGTCAAATTGTAAATTATTGGTAATATTTTTTGTGGTACATTGTTTATTTTTGTTGTCTTTTGTTGTCATCAGGAGGGTAATCTACAGATAGATGATACACGGAAAGAACCTTTCACAGAACTAAACAGAATTCTGGAGGCTTGTAGAGAGAGGAACTTAGACCCAGCTCTGGAGTGAGTACATTAAATTACTTCCTGATTAAGAATTGTCTATAGTAAACAGCTGACATGATGATGATCATAAGGTGGCTTGTACAATATTTTGAAGCATCTTTACCTTGCATGTGTTTTGATCAGTACATGTACATGTAACTATCACTCTTGATAAATGCGCGTTACTGAATTTACCAAGTAACCTGTACCAGTGTTTGGGGTAGCAAATGTCTGTCTTGTATGTGTCAATAAGATGGCTCATTTACTTTCTCGCCATACTCAAGCTTACATGCACAGTCCAACCCTTGTTAAGCGGCCATCCTTGGGGAAATGGATAATGGCTGCTTAAAGGGGGCTGGCCATTTGATAGGTGGTTGTTTCGTAGGGGTTTGACTGTATTGATACTCAGTTGCAATGAACTTGGCAGCTGAGTAATAATTTAATCCATTCCTGTAATAAATGCAGACAGGCTAATGTGGTTTGTCTTGTTATGTTTCAGATGGGCACAGGCACGACACATGGAACTCAAAGTGAAAGGAAGCTCCCTAGAATTCAGACTTCACAAATTAAAATATCTTGACCTTCTTAAAGAGGGGCGGCACAAGGAAGCTCTTGAGTATTCAAAACAGTTTGCAAGATTTGCTTCTGACCACACTAAAGGTAAGAGAAACTTGATGTTTTGTGATGATAAATAGAGGATACTACATGTACACGGCTGGGCAGAGATACTAAATTCCTCTTCAAGTGTTGAAAAATATTTCACAATTGAGCAAAGCAAATGAATGTTCAAATATTTTTCAACACAAGAAGAGAAATTTTGTACCACCAAGTGACCATGTTATGTTCTATTTATTACAGAAACACCAATGAAATACCAAACCATTTCACTCTCAGTGAGAAAGGTGTGATTTATTATGTAACCATAGCAACAGTGATCTTTTCACTTGTGAAGATAACATGTTATTTTCTTTTGTGAAGATATCATGTTTTTGTGCAAAAGCTCACCTGTTATTTCATTGGTGTTTATATAATAATAGCTTTTAAGAACATTAATAACAAATGTTCATACACCTATATGTCAGTGCAGGTTAAGTTCTGCTATGTGTTGGGAGTGGGCGAATGCTGTGTCTGAGCCACAAGCGATAGGATTATCTTCGTCTAAGCCTTCTCTCACATGAATGCCAAGTTGAGTTTGAATTGAAAAAAGAGAAATCAAATTTAACTTTGCAAAATGTTGAAACTTAAAGTTAGAACCACCTTGCACCTCCATAATAAACAGCACATGAAAGGGTTTCATTCAGATGAAAATTACTTTAGGACCAAGTAGGCTGAACTTAACAGAACTTATCTGGTCCACAGAAGTACAACAATTGATGGCATGCCTCCTGTACAGTCGCACGGGCATTGAAAAGTCTCCATATGCTTCATTACTGGATCCTGTTCACTGGCTCGACATCTGTGATATATTTGCTAGGGATGCCTGTGCACTGTTAGGTCTGTCATTAGAGAGTCCTCTGCAGGTGTGTATCACAGCTGGCTGTGTTGCTCTACCGTCACTCCTTCAGATCAGACAAGTTATGCAGCAGCGACAGGTCACGGGCGTGTGGACATCTAAAGATGAACTCCCAGTAAGTGAAAGCTTTAAGTTTGCCTAGTGAAGGACCTCTCTTTGAATTAATCCAACACATTTTAGTTAACAAAGTTTCAAGCAGGGAACTATGAACAAGGGAAGAATAATTTTAGAGACCCGAGAGGACCTCTCCATGACATGGTGATGTTGCTTATTTTGTTTTTATTGTACATTTTCAGGTTGAAGTGGATCTTGCTCCCCAGTATCGCTACCATTCACTGTTTGCTTGTCCGATTTTACGACAGCAGTGTACAGATGCTAACCCTCCAGTTAGACTGTCGTGTGGTCATGTAATCTCCAGGGATGCTCTCAATAAACTCACAAATGGAAACAAGTAAGTTATTTACGACCCACAGTCGTAATAGTGTGACATGAGGGGTCACTAAATCTGTTTACAGCATGTAATCAAAGTAAGCCATGTTTGAGTAGCTTGTTGCCTCCTTAGTTATCAACTTGAAGGCAAGTTGATAATTTACGGTTTGCTTTAGCAGTGCTTCGTGAACAAAGGCAAGTTATAAAAGAAAATTTAACCACCATAGAAAGTTTGGAAAGGCACTTGTAATCTTGCATTGACGAAGGACTAATTGTTTGTTAATTTTGTTTGATGTGACACTGAATATATCTCGGATGTGTCGAAAACGAAGACCCAAAAACGAAGACCGAAGACCTAAGACCCTGTGGTCTAAAACGAAGACGCTGTGGTCTAAAACGAAGACCCACTGGTCTAAAACGAAGGCCCACTGGTCTAAAACGAAGGCCCTGTGGTCTAAAACGAAGACCCACTGGTCTAAAACGAAGACACTGTGGTCTAAAACGAAGACCCACTGGTCTAAAACGAAGACCCACTGATCCAAAACGAAGACCCTGTGGTGTAAAACGAAGACCCACTGGTCTAAAACGACGACCCACTGGTCGAAAACGAAGACCCACTGGTCTAAAATGAAGACCCTGTGGCCTAAAACGAAGACCCTGTGGTCTAAAACGAAGGCCCACTGACCTAAAACGAAGACCCACTATAAGTACAGCATAAGATGTATTCTTGTACAGTTTGGTATCCTGATTCCAATTCCTTAAACAATTTTTTCTAACCATATCTACGACGTCACAATTGCGTCATAACCACTTGTAACTCGTTTGTAAACCGTTGGAAAACCGATGTAAACCGTGCCTTCTGGCCTAAAAGGCTTGTCTGGAATGACAATGGCCCACAGGAACACCCTTT